ATTTGTAGTGCTGTGGACTGATGGCTATTTCTTTTATACTTTGAATTATAACCCGGTATTGTTGCTCATCATTCTAGCTGTGACCATTGGAGCTCTTTTAGTTGGCTCCTGTGTCCATTTGACATACTCCCCTCATTGTGGGTGTTTTTATTTTATTTTATTTTCTAAATGTTATTATTTTTTTGAGAGAGAGAGAGGGAGGGAGAGAGATACAGGATATGAAGCGGGCTCCCCATGGACATCAGAGAGCTGATGTGGGGCTTGAACACATGAGATTATGACCTCCCCCAAAGTCGGACACTTAACCAACTGAGCCACTCAGGGCCCCTATTTTTTTTTTTTTTTTTTGAGTACTTTCTTGTTTTCTGGCACTACAAAATGCTCCATCTTGTATATTTCCTACCCCAGACCTAAGATAACCATATCTCAAGGAGCCCTGGTTCCTTTTATTGGAGAATAAATGGTATTAGAAACCAAGGTCTGGGCATTAAAGAGTGGTCCTTGCTACTGGTGTGTACTTGCTTCTAGGCCCTCTTAGCCTAAGGAGCAAAGAAATGTATGTGTGTATACTTATGTGTGTCTCTCTGTATTTCTACGTGTAACCATATGTATCTATATTAGGTAAACATGAACTCATGCTGATAACTCCAGCTCTAATCCACTACTACATGGGTCATTCTAGCTTCTTCCCCTGGTTTATCTGGAACCTCTTTACCCCAGCAATGAGACACCCAGCTTCCACAATCCATTGTCTGTTTTCTTTTTCTTTTCTTTTTTTTTTTCCTTTTTTCAGTTCATTTATTTATTTTGAGAGAGAGAGGGGCAGAGAGAGAGAAAATCCTAAGCAGGCCCGCCACTGTCTGCATGGTGGGGCTTAAATCCATGAACTGTGAGATCATGACCGGAGCCAAAATCAAGAGTTGGATGCTCAACTGACTGAGCCACCCAGGCACCCCTCCTCTCTCTGTTTTCTTAAGTGTTAAATTAAATTCCAGGATCCAGGCATAGTGGCTTCAGAATTGTTAACCTATATCCCCGTGGGAAAAAGCATTTCAGCTAGAGTTTAGTGCTTGCCTACAGTTCATTTTGCCTTTAGTCTTAATGGACTACATGAGTTCCACTCATTTCCAAAGTTACTTAGGTCAGCACTTTTTTCTTCTTTCCTCTTCATTGAAGCTATTCATACATTTGTAATAAAGTTAGATTTTTTTTGTCATTTTCTCCTTTTGGTCCAGGATCCCCTAACCTCTGAAATGATTTTTAAAATTTTTAAAAAATGTTTCTTATTTATTTCTGAGAGAGAGAGAGATAGCGTGAGCAGGGGAAGATCAGAGAGAGAGGCAGATACAGAATCTGAAACAGGCTCCAGGCTCTGAGCTAGCTGTCAGCACAGAGCCTGATGCGGGGCTCGAACCCACGAACCGTGAGATCATGACCTGAGCCAAAGTTGGACACTTAACCAACCACTCACCACCCAGGAGCCCCTGGAATGATGTTTTAAATTTGCATACATTAAAGTTCACTCTTGTGCTATAAGGTTCTATGGGTTTTAGAGCCTATAGAATGTCATGTATCCATCATTACAGTTTCTTGAAGAATAATTTCACTAACCTAAAAAGTCCCCTGTGCTTCCCTCACTTAATCTTTATGCACCCAGTGAACACTTGACAACCACTGATTTACTTAGCACCTCTAAATTTTTGCCTTAACCGTTATATGATATAACTGGAATCCTACAGTGTGTAGCCTTTTCAGATTGGCTTCTAAAGTATGTGTTTAACATTCATTCATGCCTTTTTGTGATTTGGTGACTCATTTTTTATTGCTGAATAATATTTCATTATATAGATGTATCATGGTTTGTTTATCCTGTCACCTATCAAAGGATGTCTTGGTTGTTTTCAGTTTTTGATGACGAATAAAGCTGCTATAAACATGTGCAGGTTTTTATATGGACATAAAACTTCAAATCCATAAGTATCCAGGTATGTGATTGCTGGGTCATAATGGTAAGGCTGCATTTAGTTTTGTTAAGAAACTACCAAACTGCTTGCAGAATGGCTGTACCATTTTCCATTTCCGCAATCAATGCATGAGAGTTACTGTTGCTCCACATCCTTGCCAGCAATTGGTATTGAAACTTTTTGGTTTTCAGCCATTATAATAGGTGTCCCCCGTATGCTGTTCACTAACTCAAGTATCTTGGTTGTCTAAGCTTTAGAGTTCAATGAGAGTAAGGCAAGAGAGGTAGAATACAGTTGTGGATTTGGTTCTCAGAAATAACTAGCTAGCCATGGGGTCGTAGAAGTCTAGAAACAACCTATTCTAGTTTCCTTTCTTACTTTTGTTGTATGCTGAACACAATGGGAAGATGACCTGAAACTTCCAAAAGAACACTACCGACTTGAGCTTAGATGTTATATATTTATATAAGACGCATAAGGGATAAGGGACACATAAGGGATTCACCCAGTATTTTCTGTTGAGTTGTTGAGTGATTGAATTGCTTGTGTGCTGGCTAGTATGCTGGCTGATGGGGATTCAGTGATGAATAAATCAGAGTTGTGTCCTCAGTAAGCTCACAGTCTAACCGGGGGGACAGTTCCAATACACAGCAATTGAGGCTATAATGAATGACATATGGGGAGCTTTGGGAACACAAGTGGAAGGGCATCTGACCTTATCTACGAGGAGTCGGAGACGGCGTCTTAGAAGTGACCTTGGAGGGGCGCCTGGGTGGCTTAGTCGGTTAAGCGTCCGACTTTCGCTTAGGTCATGATCTCGCGTTTGTGGGTTCGAGCCCCGCGTCAGGCTCTGTGCTGACTGCCAGCTCGGAGCCTGGAGCCTGTTTCAGTCTGTGACTCCCTCTCTCTCTGACCCTCCCCTGCTCACGCTGTCTCTCTCTCTCTCTCCTAGAAATAAATAAAAAAAAAAAAAAAAAACCATTTAGAAGTGACCTTGGAAGATGTGGTCTATACGTAGCAGGGCTTGGCTAACTAAGTACAGTCCATGGGCCCAATCCAGCTCACTGCCTGCTTTGTACAGCCTGTGAGCTAAGAATAGTTTTTATAGTTTTAAATGCCTGTAAAGAATTAGAAGAGAATATTTTTAGTGACATTTAAAACTTATATAATCTTCAGATTTCAGTGTCTATAAATAAAGTTTTATTGGAACAGAGCCATGCTTATGGCTCCTTTTACATTATGACAGCAGGGTCAAATAGTTGTGATGGGAGACTATAGAGCCTGCAGGTCCTTGGACATTTACACTCTGCCTTTTGCAGAAAAGTTTGCTGATCCCTGGCCCCAGGATGGGTAGGCGTTAGCTGTGTAAAGCAAAATGAGGAAGAAGGAAGTGGGTTTCTGATGAGATCATGATATAACTGCATTGACTTTAATATACTTAGACTGTGACTATCAAGGGGGTAGGGAGCCAGAGGCCTGTGGTGAGAGGTGCACATGGACAGGTGGGCAGGATTCAGACCAGAAGGAGAGTTGGCAGCCATACTGGGAGGTTTGGGTCTATCCAATGGAAAGCTTTTAACAGATTTTAAGTGAAGTGATTAGCCTTCCTTAAAAAAAAATAATAATAATAATCCTGTGGCCACAGTGTAGACTTTGGGTCAGAAATGAGGTGAGAAAGGAGACCGGGAGACTATTATCAGGTTTTTGAAGTCATTCATGGGAGACACTGGTAACATGGGCCAGTAAGGAGACATTGGAATATATTGATTTGAGAGGCAAAATTGAAAGACCTTGTTGATTGATTGGAGGTATTGAAAAGTAATTTTTCTCATGTTTCAAATGTGTGTGTATGTGTGTGTGTGTGTGTGTGTGTTTAACTCCAATATTTGTTATTTTTGTGGTTCTATAAATGCGTGGTTGAAAAATCCATGTTTAGTAATAGTCTTCAGGGCAGAATTCTTTCGTGATGTTTCATGCCTCCAATGCTCCTTGTAACTTGTGTGTTGAAACAGCATCTTTCTGTGGCTGTTTTCTGTTGACAAGAGATTTGGCTGGCTATCTATCTATCTATCTATCTATCTATCTATCTATCTATCTTCCTTTCTTTCTATCTATCTATCTATCTATCTATCTATCTATCTATCTTTATTTATTTTTTAAGTAGGCTCCACATCCAGTGTAGAGCCCAACATGGGGCTTGAACTCACAACCCTGAGAACAAGACCTGAGCTAAGATCAAGAGTTGGACACTTAACCGACTGAGACACCTAGGCATCTCACAGATTGGGCTTTTAAGGGGCAAAGAAACTGTTGGAAGATTAATTTTCCTTTTCAGGTTTATCTTGGTTTAATAACTGTCCCCAAGTATCTGTTTATTTATTGAAAGTTCTTGGTGTGCTCTTTGGTTTTTGAGGGAATTTGTTAACAATGACAAGTGCTTCTCATCTTCTAGAGCACTTATTAGATCCTTTCTAGTGTTACATCTCTGACCCTTGCCTCTTTCCTCCTTGAACTTGAAGTCCCAGTTGGAGTAAATGGTAGTGAGATATATTTCATAATATGCTGTAAAGTATATTTCATAGTATGCTGTGTGGTTCCAAAGTTCTTACTCACATGTCAACTATTTGATCCCTACAGTAAACCTGTGAGAAGGGCAGGGTAGGTCCAATCACTGACATTAAGAGGTTGGATGACTTGCCCCAAGTCAAGAGGTCAGTAAATAGTAGAGCTGGTGATGGAGCTTAGGTCTGGAGATTTCAGTTTTATTCTTTCTGTAATGCACTCCGTTTCTAGGAAAAGGAAGTCAGACCAGTGGGATATTTAGGTTTCAGAAGTAAAGATCTCTGGATGAAATGCTTGGTTTTTCCTCCCTCTCTCTATGCTCTGGGAGCTTTACTCAGACACCAGAATAGACCTTTCCTCTGCTTTCAAGCAGTATGTGGACAGCCAGTGATTGATAGACTACAGTTTGAGAAGTGGAGATCTGTATATTAAAGTATATGTAAGTGTGTTTTCATTCCGTCCCCCTCCCTTTAGGCGTTTTTGACTTTGATGGTTCGAGGTCAGATGGGAAAAGCCTGCTTGTGGACCAAAGCTCTTGGGGTCAGGATACAACAGACAACTTACTTACAAGGTAATGCACTCTCCCTTCATTTGTGCCTCTTAGGGCCACAGTTTTCCTTATTGTAGAACTGAGACCGTTACTGTGCATGATGTAAGTTGGCCCAGGGTGGCTGGCTTAGGAGATGTTGGACACTTCCTGAGCATTTACTGTGTATGCCCTGCTCTGCCTTTTCACCTGAATTATCTTATTTTAACCTAAGACATTGGTTCTATTATCTTCTCTGTTTTACAGCTACAGAAACAGGTGAAGAAGGGACTTTATAGAATTTACCCTAGATCCAGACCTAGCAAGTAGCCTATTTAGGGTTTGAAGCTGGCAGTCTAACCCTACCTTAGAAATGTAGAAGATGAGAAACATTTTTATTTCTCCCAACCAATCTTTTAGGAGTTTCTGGACTCTGAAGATACTTTTTTCCGTTTTTATGTTCCCTTTTCTTTTTTTCTGATGTGCTATTATATTTAGCCTGTACACCAGTGCCCCCTACTGATCATAGCTGGAATCATCTGGTCAAGATAGATTAAAAACTTGCTTATTTGTGTTAATATTTTAATTATGCACTGAAGCAGCAATGAATAATCCCTGAACTTTATTTATTTTTGTTTAAGTTTTACTTATTTATTTTTAAGTAATCTCTATACCCAACGTTCGTCTTGAGCTCATGACTCCAAGATCAAGAGTGGTACACTCCACCGACTGAACCAGCCAGGCGCCCTGGAATCTCTGAACGTTAAATGATAGCTAGATCTGTCATTCTCAGCTCACTTTTAATTAGTATGTATTTGATATAATACCAGATATTTATGTGGTATTTATTTAGTGTCAGAAGTTATGGGTGCTTTGTATATCTTAATTCATTAAGTAATCATCAACAAAAATTTCTGTGCAGTTATTAGGATTATGTTAGCTGAATGTGTCAAATTTAAAATTTTACTTAACTTAAAAATTTTTTTGATGTTTGTTTTTGAGGGAGGGAGGGAGAGAAAGAGAGAGAGAGAGAGCGAGCGAGCACAAGTGGGGAAGGGACAGAGAGAAAGAGGGAGACACAGAATCTGAAGCAGGCTCCGAGGTCTGTGCTGACAACTTGGAGCCTGACATGGGGCTTAAACTCATAAACCGTGAGATCATGATCTGAGCTGAAGTTGGATGCTTAGCTCATCCACTTCTGGGTGGAAGAAGGCCACCCAGGTGCCCCTATTTTGCTTAACTTTAAATGTTGGCATTTGAATAATTTTTAGTATGACTGTTAAAACTGCACAAATAAAAAGGAAATACAGATTTTCTTGTTCTTTTATTTTTGATTATTCTTGTGAAATAGAGATACAGCAGAACTGTCAAGTCAAAGGATCTGGATAGTTTTATAGTCTCGTTACATGAAGCATTAGAGTCTATAAAGAGCATTGTCAAATCTGGGTTGTAATCCATACTCTGTGGCCATCTAACTGGATGGACCATTGATGATGCTAGGTCTCATTTGTCTTATTTGAAAAAGAAAGGGATTAAATCAGAATGTCTTCAAGGCTCCCCACCCCGATCTGAGATCTCTATCAGAAAATCTCGGGACCGGTGTGCTATACAGTCAACAACATATAAGTTTATTTAATTGCACATAGAAATAGTGTTGTCTTTGACTTTGGCCTGTTTTAACTTTGGAAACTTGTAACTTTATGTTCACATATTTTGTCATGGGGAGACTCATCAGAATATGGTAAATTTCTGTTTGTTTGTTTTTCTAGACAGAATAAATCCAAGTCTGACATCAGTGACATGGTTCGTGCCTCCACTATCACAGTATCAGACAAGGCTCATATTTTATCAATTCAGAAGTTCGGGCTGCGAGATACAATAGTGAAATCACATCTAGTGCAGAAAGAAGAGGATTATACCTATATCCAGAACTTCAGGTAGCTAACGGGGTGGACTGTTTTCAAAGCAAGATGATCTCTCAGCTGTCTGAAATGTAAGCACTTCCCCCACCTCCATACCCTGGATTTGGAAGCAAATCCTTCTATAGAGTCCCGTCATTTTCGAAATGATCATTTCCTTTCACTCTTCATTGGTAGGCATTTATTCTTGTGCCTTTTCTGGCTGGGCAGGTGGTAGTGTGGTAGAGCGGCAGTGACACAACTTGCAAAAAGTTATAGCAATATTTGAAGAGATATAAGGGCCAGAAGACGGAATGATATTCTGAAATTTGCATATCTCTTGGTCATTCCTAGCCTTTGAGGAAAGTCATTTATTTTTTTATTTTAGAGAGAGAGAAAGAGAGAGAGCACATGTGCATGAAGAAAGTCCTTTATTTATATGTTTGTTTATTTTTGAGAGAGAGAGAGCACATGTTCGAGGGAGGGGCAGAGAGAGAGAAGGAGACAGAGGGTCCGAAGCAGGCTCTGTGCTAAGAGTGGAAAGCCCCATGTGGGGCTCGAAATCACAAAGCACAAGATCATGACCTGAGCTGAAGTCAGACACTTAACTGACTGAGCCAGCCAGGTGCCCCTGAAGAAGTCCTTTAAATTGAAGTTAGTGAATTGAAGTTAATGTTTGGTAATCTTTTTAGACGGGATTACTGGAAGTGAACTGAATAGAGGTTGCAGATTCTGCCAGATCTTTTTAAATCCGTGCACTAGGACTATACCACAAGGTAATATCGCTGCCAGGTATATAAAGAGTCACTTGTGAACACTGCTGTTGCTCTCCTTCTGAAAGTAACAAGGTTCTTCTTTTTTTTTTCCCCCCCCCAGTTCCCTAGCATACACAAGGTGAAGAATCATTTTGTGGATTATGGCTCTCTAACGTGTTTTAAAGCTAAACAGGAATGTTCAGAGTAGGCCCATCCTGTTTGAAGTCCTCATGAAAGCACCAAACACCATGGCAGACTGCAAGTCACCGTTTGGTGCCACAGTCTTTGGTCTAGGTTAGGTGTGACGTTTCTTGCCTTAGAATTCTACTCCAAAGAGACTGAAACTCGGCAAAGTCAGCATAGGATGCTTTCTCCTGTCACCTTCATAGTTCCCCAAGTGATTCATCGGTTTTCTTTGTTGACAGGTTTTTTGTGGGAACATACAATGTGAATGGCCAGTCCCCCAAAGAATGCCTCCAGCCCTGGCTAAGCCATGGCATTGAGGCCCCAGATGTGTACTGTGTAGGGTGAGTGCCTCTCTTCTTGGTCGTCTCTGTGTCTCGAGAAAGTACGACTGGGGTTGAAGGGACAGGGACCTGAATGTATAACTGCATTTTTGCAGCAGGTGAAAAATGAGCATGTGCTTAATAACAGCTGCTTCTCTGTTTGATGTTCTTCCTCGTGGTAAACAAATTTCTGGCACCATTAAAGTGATGTGCTTGGCGTTTAAATGCTATTATTATTTTTAAAAAGTTTTATTTACTTTTTTTTTTAAGAACATTTTTTAAATGTTTTTATTTATTTCTAGGAGAGAGAGAGAGACAGCGTGAGCAGGGGAGGGTCAGAGAGAGAGGGAGTCACAGATTGAAACAGGCTCCAGGCTCTGAGCTGGCAGTCAGCACAGAGCGCGATGCGGGGCTCGAACTCACGAACCACGAGATCATGACCTAAGCGAAAGTCGGACGCTTAACCGACTAAGCCACCCAGGCGCCCCTTTATTTACTTTTTAAATAAAAGTTCTTAATAGTTTTTATTTATTTTTGAAACAGAGAGACAGAGCATGAGCGGGGGAGGGGCAGAGAGAGAGGGAGACACAGAATCTGAAGCAGGGTCCAGGCTCTGAGCTATTAGCACAGAGCCCAATGCGGGGCTCAAACTCACAAACCATGAGATCATGACCTGAGCTGAATTTAGACGCTTAACCAACTGAGCCACCCAGGCGCCCCAAAATGCTATTATTTAATTGTTAGGGTAACTCTCCTATTAAAATCACTACACCTTGAACTGACTTTCATCATTTAGACATTCAACACTTTGGGGTGCCTAGGTGGCTCAGTCGGTTAAACGTCTGACTTTAGCTCAGGTCATGATCTCACAGTTCGTGGGTTCGAGCCCTGCGTCGGGCTCTGTGCTGACAGCTAGTTCAGAGCCTGGAGCCTGTCTTTGGAGTCTGTGTCTCCCTCTCTCTCTGACCCTCCCCTGCTCATGCTATCTCTATCTCTCTCTCAAAAATAAATAAAATGTTAAAAAATAGCACTTTGTTGGTCATAAAGCAAAGATATCTTTTGGCAAGGAAGGAAGGGTAGCTTTTAAAAAGCCCCATCAGTCTTTTTTTTCCCCCCTCCATTTTTCTATTTTCTTACCACTGCCCTGGGCACTATGGATAGGTTGGGGCAGCAAAGAAGCCTGTATGTAAACTGGGAAGGGCCTAGAATTTGGAATTTATATAGACCTAGGTGTGGCCCTCAGTTTGCCATTTGGTGGTTGTGTGAACTAGTGGGCTCGGGTGTGAAATGGAGATGCTTCCAGCTGCTTCACCGGCTGGTTATGGAGAGAAAATGGCTGAAAGTACTGTTGGTTCCTTAGCATTTAGTCCCTTGGCTCCAAGTGTTCATTTTTCTCCCCTCTTGAGGGCCCTGCGGTTTAGCTGGAGAGCTAGGACACACGCATCTACACCAACCTGAGGAGATGTTGTTTCGCCCGTGACCTTTCTCTGTCTGACTACTTGCTGCTTATAACAGGTTCCAGGAGCTTGACCTGAGTAAGGAAGCCTTTTTCTTCCACGATACCCCGAAGGAAGAAGAGTGGTTTAAAGCTGTATCAGAAGGTCTTCATCCAGGAGCCAAGTACGCAAAGGTAAGAGGGGGTCAGTGACCTTTCATTTTATGTTGCCATGCAGGGAAATTCTAAGACCGTTCTTGACTTTTCCTGTGAAGTAAAAGTCCTGGCTTATCATAAGCCAGTCCTGATTATTTCAGTTCCAAGTCCTCCGGAAGAGGCGCTTTGGGTAGGAATGACGCAGGTCTTGGCCCCGGGAGGCTGTCCACGGTATCACATAGCATGTTCAGTGAGCTGAAAGGTGATTATCCCGTGTCCTGTTCTGAAAAAGGAGACATGTTGGCCTCCGGAGCCAGCTTCGAGACTGCTTTTCCTCTGGGACATTAATTTCCGTTTTCAACGCTGTTTCATGCTGTGACCTGAGTGTTTGGCTCTATTGTCCAGGTGAAGCTCATCCGACTGGTTGGGATTATGCTGCTGTTGTATGTCAAGCAGGAACATGCGGCGCACATCTCTGAGGTGGAAGCGGAAACCGTGGGGACAGGAATCATGGGGAGGATGGTGAGGTTTCGCTTGCTATGCTCGGCACACCAGTGGCCTTGACCCCTAGGGTTTTGACACTGCCTCTCCTGCTACCGTGACTGCACGCACGCCGGTGCCTGTTTGGCAGGATGAACGGGGCGCTCAAGCACGGCTGGATGCAGCGGGCTACTCAGAAGTCGGATTTTAGCGAACTGCTGGCTGCCTTGCCCCATTAGCACGTATCCCTGTGTCCACTCCACACTAGAGCCTTTAGCTGGTCTGCCCACTTCACCCATGAAATCTGTTACAGAGACTCTGTTGGGAAACCAAGATAAAGAACACTGGGGGCGCCTGGGCGACTCAGTCAGTTAAACGCCCAACTCTTGGTTTCAGCTCAGGTCATGATCTTAACGGTTCATTGGGTCAGACCTCTCGAGAGAGAGATTCTCTCTGTCTCTCTCTCAAAAAAAGAGAATGCCGATAACAGGTTTGCAGTTTCCTTGTCTTGAGGCTCCTACAGTCCCAGCTTTAGGCTCTGCCGCAAGAGCTTGGCTTCCTGCGGAGAAGGGCAAGCGTGGGGTTTGCCTGTGACTTTGTGAAAAGTGGACTCCGCTTCGCCACCGACTGCCTGGTCACTCTAGCCAGTGACTCTTGGGTTCGTCTTCTTACCTGTCAAAATACAGACAGTAACACTGCTACATTTCCCTGTCAGGGTTATTCTGAAGAGGACTGATTTTGAACGTGTGCAGGTGGGAGTGACTGACCCGATGAGGTTGTGACTCGGACTCTGTGGGGCTCTTTCTCGTAGGGTAACAAAGGAGGAGTGGCCATCAGGTTCCAGCTCCACAACACCAGCATCTGTGTCGTGAACTCTCACCTGGCGGCGCACACGGAGGAGTGTGAGCGGAGGAACCAGGACTATAAAGACATCTGTTCTCGAATGCAGTTCTGTCAGGCTGACCCAGGCCTCCCCCCTCTCACCATCAGCAAGCACGAGTGAGTCTGGGCGTGGAACCCAAGCAGTTCACCGCTCCTGCTGTGCAGAGCCGGGGCCCCCCTGTTTCATCGGGAGTGAGAGGGGAGGCCTCCCACAGCCCGAGCGGGAGCTCCAGCCAGCACTCGCTTACAAGCGGTTTAAGTCCCCTGAGGTGTTCAGTTTCCCAGCTCCCCATCTGGCAGACCTCCGAAACCTTTGTCCTGCGTCATTGGTCCCTAGAAAGTGTAGATTTATTATAATGCAGGTCTGCCTCAATAAACATCATGCGGGAAGCAACCAAAGAGCAAGCTCCTCAAGCCCAGGTTTTAGAAGCATGTTTTAAGATTCTATCTGTCTGTCCTTTCCAGAAGCGTATGTGATGGAGACCAGACCGCGGTAGTCCGCCTTCCCTTAGTCTTGAACCTCTTGATTCAGCATTACAAAGTTGTAGTCACAGCTGCTTGGACAATCTCGTGCTGATCTTTGTTCCCTTTATCTCTAAAACTTCCTGTATGTCCGAATTCGAGGCATATTAGGATCCCGGGCTTTACAGTAACACTTGAAGCTTGTGCCACTTCTTTTAGAAAAAGGAAGAAGCCACTGGGGGCACGATGTCTGCCAGGAAGCACCCCGATTCAAGCCTCTCATCCCGCCTGCTGTGGTGGTGGCACTGTCTTGAGCTCACTGGCCTTCTGGAAGCTGACAGGATGGCTTTTCTTCTCCGGGGACCCCAGCAGGGAGTGTGTCTTCCATTCTGCCGATCCTCCAGCACCCTAGTTGGGGAGGTGGCAGCTTGCATGTCAGTCTGTCTGCCGTGAGCCTGTGGATGCATTCATTGTGGTGTGTGTCTGCTGCTCTGCGCTCTCCAGTTCCTGGCTGCTGGCTTCAGATAGAGCAGTAGCGGACTTGATGGGATGTGCACGGTCATCGGGAATGCTCGGCTAGCCTTCTCCCAAAGCAGCGGGTGGAATAAAACACCTGTCACGCTTTGCACAAAGAGCCAACCGAAGATAGTGGGGGTTAAACTCAGACTCCCCCGTGAAGGTTGAGCTTTGTTTCAGAGGAACTCAGCTCTAGAAACAAAGGCGGAGAGTGTGTCTTGTGGACTGTGATGTGCACAGAGGCGACCCGATGGCATCATCTGGTTTGGGGTCCCTGAGCAGTTTATGTGCCACCCAATATTTGATCTTTGGCGCGTCTTCCCAGGAATGAGGTGAATGGTGGTCTTGCTTTTAGACCTGATTAGACTGTCTTTTCAATTATATGAGAGTAAAGTAGTCCAGGACAACTCAAGACCATTGCTCATGAATCTGGAGCAAGGCCCCGGAGCCAGCAGCACGTTAGCCGTGGCGTGAAATGGAGTGGCAAGGAAAAGATTTCCCCAACAGCTGAGTCCCTCCCTTCCCAGCTCCCAAGAAGCCGAGCCTCAGGGGCCTTCTGTCAGAAGCACACTGGCGAGGATGGAGGAAGTCCCGCCTAAGCCATGACCTTGTGCTCTGTCCTCACAGTGTGGTCTTGTGGCTGGGGGACCTCAACTACAGGATAGAAGAGCTGGATGTGGAAACAGTGAAAAAGCTCATCGAAGAGAAGGCCTTCAAAAAGCTGTACGCGCATGATCAGGTACACACGGCCCCCCACCCTCCTAGGCGGCTGTCCCGCCGCTGTGAGGGCACGAGAAGGCCTGGCTTCCCAACCCTCGGCCTCTTCTTCCTCCGCTGGGCAGGCTTCCCTGAGGAGCTGATGGCCAGTCATTTCTCTTCCCATCCACGTTCCCTCGTCCATGGCTGCCTCCCCATCAGCTCTTCCCTCGAGGCGCCTCATGCCCCTTGGGGGCAGGAGTGTGTATGTTCTCAGCCTCTCTCCCCCACTCCCCCTTTCCCTGGTGCTTGCTTGTTCAGGCATTTGTTCAAGAGGGGGCTAAAAGGGTGCCAAGCTTCTCATAGGGATCCTTGGCATGTTTAAGATGATTTGTTAAATTCTTTTCCGAGTGAGCCCCCCCTGCCCCCTCCTGATCCTCAACCAGGCTTGTCCAGTGTACACGATAGCTCTTTCTCCAGAGCAGCTTTCTTCACCCCCGCCAGGAGCCGGTTCTGGAACCTGCTATTCTCCACCGTGGTTTGGGTCAGCATTTCTTGCTCAGAGCCTGAGCCATCTCACGGGACAAGAGACATGTGTGTCTCACTGGCTTCCTTGAGGCCACTTGTCCCTGTAGGTTTCAGAACCACTCAGGTGCTTGTTCAGAAGGTTCAAGTCCCTTTTCTTTTTAGTCTGTAGCCACGTTCTTATTGTCACCAGTCTCAGTCTTTCTGTGAACCTTTTTGTCCCCTTGTTCACATCAGTCAGAGGGGGAAAAAAATCTCAATTTTGTTGTGTCTTTTATGGAATCATCTCCTCTTCAGCCATTTTTCTCTCCAGTTCCTTTCCTTTCCTTATATATTTTTTTCTTTTATTCTTATTTCGGCATTAAGCCAGTCTGCTCTATACCTGTTTATTGCATCTGTATTCTGGAGTGAGGCATTCTGGTTTCCCGGATGGTGTCATACTCCCCTCCTTTTGCCTTCTTTTCTGGTCTTTCATCAAGTAACAGTACCTATTTGGTGTATTCTCTGCTTTCCAGATGGTTTTAAGGTCTATACATACTGATTTAAGACTCAGTCTTACATTACTGTCTACATTTTTATTATTTCTGTGGACTTTTCTGTAATAGTTTTTTTTTTTTTAGGCATTCCTATTTTGGGGGAATTTGGCAACTATAGTCCCCTGAATAGTTGACCCCCTGTGTCCAGTGCTAGCTGACAGTTCTTCACCAGCGCACGCCAGGCCAGGCTTGGGCCCCTGGGGAGGAGACAGGAGCACCTGTGATTGTTCATTTCGCTGAGAGAGTGCTCTGGAAGGAGCGCCTAAAATGAGCGCAGCCGGAGGAATGCTGGCTATTCCCAGGATGCACCAGGCACTATTCTAAGCTGACAGTTCTTTCCAAGAGTGCCGGCAGGCAGACTCTATTACCGATCCAGAATTCGCAGGTGGGGAAACCAAGGCACAGAACTTTCCCCAATTCACATAACTCCATACCAATCCACATTTGGTAAACTGCTTTGGAGAACCGTTTAAATTTAAATTTAATTCCTACTTGTTTTGGTATACTTCTATCGCTTTCTACATACATGAAAGTTCCCTTTGCCTTTTGGATTGTATCTTTCCAGACCCTTTTCCATGTAGTTCTCTTTCCGTGTACAGCGGGAACAACTGTGTTATGCAGACGAAATGTCTGATACTTGGAAGGAAAAGCTCTATGTCTGTTGGTACCTGACCCTCTTAGGGACAGCTCAGCAAGATGGTACTCAGGCCCCTTCAATGCAGTTACACTATTAGAAAAGAGCCTTCAAAACTGTACAGCAGGCAAAAGAATGGTCAGTTTGCTCCCCTTCCTAGGATTTCGTTCTCAGAATCTTACAGAATAACTTTCTCATGGGCCTTTCCCTTTGGGTTAGGGCTGACTTCCAGATTAAAGCCCTTTCCTCTGCTAATTCAAGGTTTCACTTTTTTATTTTGAGGGTTTTTTTTTGTTTGTTTTGTTGTTGTTGTTGTTTTTTCCCCTTGCCCCCCTTTTTACAGCTGAAAACTCAGGTCACTGCCAAGGCAGTCTTTGAAGGCTTCATTGAAGGCGAGCTCACATTCCAGCCCACGTATAAGTATGATACTGGCTCCGACGACTGGGACACCAGGTAGGTGGGGGTAGAGGGGCGCAAATGGAAATCCAGAAATTTCGGGAAGCCCTTGCCCCTGTGGACCTAGAGAAGGAGATAGGAGTCCTATGACTTCTCTGCATTTTATGCTCTGGTTAAACATTTTCCCTTAGTATCTGCTCATCTAGCAGCCCTGCCTTCCCACATGTTTTCTTTTAGACAGTCTTAGGCTTTGTTCCACAATACTTTACTTTTCAGTTATGCTTAGGGTGAGAGGATGATTCTAAGCAGCTTAGCTTGCACTTGTCACTACATAGGAGTTTATCCTTTTTCTTAGTGCTTATGGCATGCCTCACATTATGTCATACACTTCTGTGACCTCATTTAATTTTCCCAACAGCCAGGGGAGGTAGGTGTGATTTATTATCCTCAATTCTTAGATTGGGGAATGGAGGCATACACAAATCCAAGAGCCTCTCAAGGGGCACCTGGAGCATGCAACTCTTCATCTTGAGGTTGTGAGTTCAAGCCCCACGGTGGGTGTAGAGATTACTTAAAAATAAAAACCTTAAAAAAAAAAAAGAGATCAGAAATAAAGAGACTCCCAAATGGGCAAGTGTAGCGCCAGGATTCTAACCTAGGTGGAAGGAATTCAGAGCCAGTTTAAACCACCGTCTTTTAAGGACCACAGAGTACCTACTTCCAGATTGCCTTTTTCATCTCGTCCCCATAGGAGGGTAAAGAGCAGAGAATCATTCTGCACTGTGTTTGGCTTGGAGCCCTCGCAGCTGTTTTGGGTGACACCCACAGGGTACATACTATCCTCGGATGGGCCCGAAGCGCTGCGCCTTCTCGGATCCCCAAGCCTGCATGCACATGCATGTGAAGGCCCTGTCCTGTCTCCCCAGCCGAGCCAGGGTGCCGGCCAGGCGCTGGGCACTGATGTGCCTGTGTGGGCCCCCAGCGCAGCCTTTGCATTTCAGTGAGAAGTGTCGTGCTCCCGCCTGGTGTGACCGCGTCCTCTGGAAAGGGAAGAACATCACTCAGCTGAGTTACCAGAGTCACATGGCCCTGAAGACCAGTGACCACAAGCCTGTCAGCTCAGTGTTTGACATTGGGGTAGGTGGGCAGCTGACCCCCGTTGTAATCACTCTGTAGGGAACTGGTTCTCATCACTGCTTTTGTCGTTTTGGTCTCCTCCTCCCCACCTGAGTGTGTAAAAGCTTTTAAATGTTTTTAGGGGCGCCTGGCTGGCTCAGCCTGTAGAGCACGTGACTCGATTTTGGGGCTGTGAGTTCGAACCCTATGCTGGGTGTAGAGAATACTTAAAAATTAAAAAAAAAATTGAAAACAGTGTTTTAATTTAAATCCAATTCATAATTATTTTGGTAATTTCTCCTATGTATTTCTCCATACATGGACGTTCCTCTTTGTTTTTTTCTTTTTAATGGACTGTGTCTTTCTAGGCCTTTTTCTATGCATTTACAAATGTGTCAGTATTCTATGTACAACATAGAGGATGTTTTTTCTTTTTGTAAAAGAGATCACCTTATGCGTATTGTCCTGAGAGAACATTTTTTTCCCTACTGACTATGTCTTAGATTTTTCTATGTCTCTAAAGGTAGATCTTCCTCCTCCTCCCACTTCTGCTGACCCTGTAGGAGCTTATTTCCCACATCCTGGCTAATACTGAATTTTATCAGTCTGAAATTTCTGCCAACCCAATGGGCCAAAAGAAGAAGATACGTCATTATTATAGATTACATTTCCTTGATTGCCAGTGAGATTGAACATCTCTTTATTATCTCTTCCGTGACTTCTGTTTCTTCATTTTACCAATTTTTGAGGGTTTAGGTAGAGGCATATCAGAATCCGTGAGCGTGTGGGTGGCTTGAAAAAAGCCTAACAGATATCATAAAGTTTTATTATTGGAAAGTGACAAAAATTGTGTTCATAATTCACTATTTGGAAGGGAAAGCCTGGCAAAATCTTAGCTGCTGGAGCACAGGTTACAAAAGCTTCAGAAATGCCACGTTAAATCAGACCCTAGAGAAGTTTCTCGCTGCAGGCCTGTTGACAGCAACAAAGCATCTTTCTGCCCCAGGCCTACGACCTGGCAGGGCTCCCATCCAAGCTTACGCTCCAGCGTCTTCTCTCTGCTAATCAGGAAGCGGTTGGCTTTACCACAACTTCAGCCTCTGAAGGACCCTTCTGAGACTATTGTTAATTGGATTCTTTGTTGATTAATTAAATCTATTTAGTCCTCACTTTCTGTGCGGCTCTCAACTGCTCTTTCCCAATATTGTGTGTGTCTTCTTTACTGAAAAGGAGGAAATGGGCAGAAGGCAACTCGGGCTCTGATGTCTCCCTCTCAGGTGAAGGTGGTCAACGAAGAACGTTACCGCAAGACTCTGGAGGAGATTGTGCGTTCCCTGGATAAGATGGAAAATGCCAACATTCCTTCTGTGTCCCTTTCCAAGCGAGAGGTAGGAAGGGCATGTTCTATTCATAGAACTTAAGTCTCACCTGCAAGGGCTCGGAATTCTAGGAGGCACCTATCCGACCACTGGGCTCCAGTCTTCTTGGCTGATGGGCTGCCGCTAGTGAAAGCGAGGCTGCTGATGTTGGTTGAGAGGAGGGGTTGGTTTAGATGATGTTCATCTCCTGATCGTCTACATCAGAAGCCTTTCACCTTTGTGGCTCATATGTTTCACCCATACATGGGCCATTCATGAACTAAACGATGACATAGATGAGCCAAAAGGTGTTGTGTTTGATTTTAGTGTAACTGGGTAGGTATTCTCGCAGGGGGATTTTCTTCCTCCTGATATTTTGCTCTGACTGAGATTAAATTGAGTCTGAATTGCTTGGGTACACACGTGTTGGTGGGAGGCAAGGCAGTGTAGAAAAGGGATGGGCAGTGGAGGAAGTCAAGTTAGGGCTGAAGGTTTTTCATGGAAGAGCTACAGCCTAGATCATTTGGAATGGACAATACCAAGAAGCCAACCAAATGGCGATTTAGGGTGAGGGTATTTTTTTTTTTTTTAATGTTTTATTTATTTCTAGGAGACAAAGAGAGAGACAGCGTGAGCAGGGGAGGGTCAGAGAGAGAGGGAGTCACAGACTGAAACAGGCTCCAGGCTCTGAGCTGGCAGTCAGCACAGAGCCCGACGCGGGGCTCGAACCCACAAACCGCGAGATCATGACCTGAGCGGTGGTCGGACGCTTAACCGACTAAGCCACCCAGGCGCCCCAGGGTGAGGGTATTTTTAATGCCCTAGATGTCCAACTACTTGGAAAGATGTGCTTAGTCTTCACGTTTGGGGGTGTACTTTGTAAAGGGTATTTTGGAAATGGTCTTCGGATATAGAAGATTTGAACTTTGATTCCTTTAGGAAATCTATTTATAAAGCAACACGAAGTTCTTGCGTTCCTGGGTAAAACATCCAACTGGCCTTTAGTGGAGCTGTGGCCTCCCTGGTAGATGCCTAAAGCAGAAATGTGATTCAAAAGAGGCAGTCCTTCATTTTCTTTCAGAAAGGGCAAAGGTTGCCTGGTTGGGGTGGCTGGGCAGGTTGCTGAGAAGAGGACAGTGGCCTGATGGGTCCTGGTCTTGCCCCCAGTTCTGTTTTCAGAATGTGAAGTACATGCAGTTGCAAGTACAGTCCTTTACAATTCATAATGGACAAGTGCCCTGTCAGTTTGAGTTCATTAACAAGCCTGACGAAGAGTCCTACTGCAAGCAGTGGCTGAATGCCAACCCCAGCAGAGGCTTCCTCCTGCCAGGTGAGGCCTCCGTTCCCAGCTTCCCGGTTTCTGGTTTGGGGAACACTCTACCCTGCCTGCCTGTTTTCCTAAAATAAGCTTTTTTGTTCCTGAGTGTTTTGTTGTCTGATTGAAACTTCTACAAGCCCTGTGGATGTGAACCATCCATGAATAAGATAGGAAAACAGTCAAGGGCAGGAGTTCAGCTTGAAAACCTTTCTCAGCCATCTGTGTGTTCCATAATTTCACAGAAAGAGAAGACAGAAGACCTCTGGGAAGCAGGTGCTGTTGTCGAAGGACCCATTTTCACTGTCTGCCTCACTGTAATCAGCTCCCAGCGTCTGCTCTTGTAGGGAAAGATAATGGGGTGGTAATCCAGAAATTATATTTGCCCCTGGAATGTACCATTCATGTCTTTCCCCTGACTGCTCCTTTGCACTCTGTGTCGTGCTGTGTGGCAGAGGGATTGAGCCTGTTTTGTGGACAGTTCGCAGGCTGATATTCGCATTATATTTTCTGCTGGATCGAGTGTCTTCTTCTGACCTGGCCCAGGGCAAGTGCCTTGATCCATGCCTTCAATTGTATTAATAATCCTAACTTGAGCTGTGCTCCTTGAATTTCATAGCAGTGGCCTCTTGCACATGTTTTTGTTTGTTTTCGTATTCCCACTTGACCTATAAACTCCTTGTTCATGTGTCCTCTGAGTGCTGAGCACATACATACTTGTTGGTTGGCTGATTTGTCTTATTTCCTTTCCCAGCCCCTTGCGCCTGGTCCTTGCCCCCTCTGTCCCCTTTCCTCTTGGCCCTTCACCAGCCAACATTACTTTTGATGTTATTCTTCAGATTCCGCCATTGAGATCGAACTGGAGCTATTTGTAAATAAGACCACGGCTACAAAGCTCAACTCAGGTGAAGACAAAATTGAAGACATTCTGGTTTTGCACTTGGACAGGGGAAAGGATTATTTTTTGTCCGTGTCTGGGAACTACATGCCCAGCTGTTTTGGATCTCCCATTCATACGCTGTGCTACATGAGGGAGCCTATCTCGGACCTGCCGCTTCAAACTATTAGAGAGCTGGTGAGTTACATGCCACAGGGAACTATCTAGAACTGTAGCAGCTGAGCCAGTCAAACAAGATAATCTCTGTCTTCATACATAATTCATTAGAGAAACTCAGCCATGGATACCAAGATGTGAAGCTTCCCTGGCCTCTGATTTTATTCCTGTTTTTGTTTCAATCATCACTTGGTCATTCTTCATCGGGAGCTAAATTTTCTGAGACACAGAAGGCTCCTCTGGAGAGAATTCGAGGACAAGGGGACCAATTTAGAGCAGATTTATGGTGATATGCATTTCCCCCATTCCAGTGCATTTTTATGATTTAGGGACTCTTGATTTCTATCCTCTTCATTATATAAGGTGAAAACAGAGGCCCAGTAAGGAGAGTGATAGGTCACAGGTCACATGGTGAGTGAACAGTGGACCTGTCCCCTGCATTTAGGTTTTTGGACTCTCAAGTCTGTGCCCTTATCCTCCCCGACCACATTCTCACCCTGGTTCTGATGGTGAAATGCTGCTGGCAGAATGTGTTTTTCAGAAGACAATGTACATTTCACCTGATTCATTGAAACTGCTTGCCACAACCCATTCCTCACTCTCAAAAGTCACCTTTGTACCTTGATTCTCCCCCCTGACTTCATTTGCCTGTGGAGTGTTTGCTTAGGGGATTGAAAGGCTTCCCTTCCTCCATGGGTTCGCTGCCCCCATTGTCAGGTATTCTCCTAGAGCTAGCCTTCACACATCCCATTGGTGGGCCTTTGGACTCTGCTTTTTATTTCTTTTCAGACTCTGATGCCACTACAGACTGAGGATGATGGGATCCAGTTGGAGAACCCCATGGGGATCCCCAAAGAGCTCTGGATGATGGTTGATTACCTGTACCAAAATGCTGTCCAGCAGGTACGTGGGGGTTAAGCAGTCAGACCTGACTGAGGCCAGGCTGCCTTGGGAAAGAGCATTAGCTCCAAAAACTCCTGACGTAAGAAGGTTTTACCCCAAAGAACCTGTGGAAAGCTGTTCTTCCTCTAGGGTGTGAACGGGGGATAAATTAATGTTTCACACCCCCATGAGACCTTGCTGTTACATACAGCACTTGATTACCCTCAAGGGAAGCAGCCTTGCCTAGGATGGCCTTCGAGGCACAGCCTGTTTCCCCGACCTGGTCTCTGGGGTCCTCCAAGTAGAAAACCATCTGGATTCTTCTTAGGATGTCAGCCTGCCATCCTTATGAGGAAGGCTTGCCAGTTTCTAGGAATGGGAGGGGGGCTAACTTGATGAGCCAAACTGAGGTAGGAGACCAGATAGAGCCCCCAGGCTTTGAGTCAGGAGGCCTGATTTCCAGAGTGATTGGGCTGCATGAAATCAGATTGGTCAGTTTCACAGAGTCCTTCATATAGGGAGGAGACTAATACAAACTAGAGTCTATCACAGCGCTACCCCTTGGGAACAACATACATTCTTAGGGCTTTCTCTTCTCACTTCTCCCCGCTCCTTACATTTATTCTTACAGTGTACCAAACACTATTCTAAGTGTTTCACAGCATTGCTTCACTTAGTTCTCGCAGTGGCTCTTAGGTGAAGAACCAGAGGTCCAGGAGGCTAAGTAACTTGGTCAAGATCCTAAAGCTGATAAATGAGTAGGATTGGGATTTGAACTCAGGGAATCTCTCTCTAGTAGTCACCTTCTTGAGCAGGGGCCATGCTAATCTTGTGTGTATCATTCCAGTTTTGGAGTATGTGCTGCCCAAGTGAGCACAGAAGTCACATTCTTTTTTATTGTTTATTTATTTTTGAGAGAGAGACAGAGAGAAACACTGTGAACACGGCAGGGAGAGAGGGACAAGAGAGGGGGACAGAGGATCCAAGGCCGACTTTGCACTGACAGCAGAGAGCCCAGCAGAGAGCCTAGTGCAGGGCTTGAACTCATAAACTGTGAGATCATGAGCTGAGCCCAAGTCAGACACTTAACCGACTGAGCCACTCAGGTACCCCCAGAAACCACATGCTTAAGTATTGTGCTAATCTACCTTCTCTGTAGAGCTCCATTCAAGTGTAACTTTTGAGCAATACGTAGAATATTATCATTCAGTTATATGGTGTTAAGTCATTTAATAAAATAAGTATAAGGCATGCTAGGACTCGTGGAAATACCTTTATTGACATAATCTTGTTTTCACAAGGTAGGGAGGTGCCTTTTTAACCTTCTCCATCTTATAAATGATATATTTTCTTCACGTTTTTCTTTTTCTGGTTAATCCCTCTATAACACTGCAGGAAACATAGCTACATCTTTAAGTTTTCCTCTATCACTGTGTGTAGAATGCCATACTTGTAGTGTTGTTGTTCTTTTTTTTAATGTTTATTTTGAGGGAGAGAGAAAGAGCATGAGCAGGCGAGGATCAGAGAGAGGAGAGAGAATCCCAAGGAGGCTCTGTGCTGTCAGAGCAGAGCCCAACGTGGGGCTCGATCTCATGAATTGTGAGATCATGACATGGGCCAAAATCAAGGGCCGGACACTTAACCACCTGAGCCACCCAGGTGCCCCCTATAGTTTTATAATAGACATTTTATCACTTTAAAGACCTGTTGCGGGAGCATGCTTGGAAGGGCTGCAAGACGAATTAGCCGCATCAGCCCTAAATTTATCAGCTTCTTTATCAGGGTGACTCAAAGGCCTCACTACACTGTTCGCTCCCTTTTGACACCTTGCTGGTGATCACATTTCTAGATCAGGAAATCATGGCTGATTTTCTGAGAATATAATGATTCGGTGACTTTCTTTCCTTTTGCAGGAAGATCTGTTTCAGCAGCCAGGCCTGCGGTCAGAATTTGAGCATATCAGGGACTGTTTGGACGCTGGAATGATTGAATCCCTCTGTATCCTTCAGACAGTCGTGTGTGCATGTGTGTGTGTCCTTGTGTGACTACGATTAAGAGGTGAGAGAAAAGAAAGAACAGTATCTTAAGGCTCAAAATCAGGTCTTGTGTCCTCAGCTATCATATTTTTCTTACTAAAAGTTTGCATAGAGAAGACGTTACAGCTTTAAGCAACTGAGATAGCAGGAACTCAGGAAGGCCCCGCTAAGCTGAAAGAGAGCTTGGTCCCCTTCACCGCGTCAGGCTGGCACCCCAGCTCTGAGCAGAGAGCCTGGCTGGGCAGGCAGCACTCGAGGGACGCACTCATTCCTGGGCCTTTTCCTAACCACGGTATGGCGTCGCCTGTTCCTTAACGATGGGCCAAAAGCCGCCAACAATCATTCCGTGGCTGAAGCCCTGCTGCTTTTCCTGGAGAGCCTGCCAGAGCCTGTCATCTGCTACAGCACCTACCACAGCTGCTTGGAGTGTTCCGGCAACTACACGGCAAGTAAACAGGTGAGGGGAAGCGTTAAAGCATCAGCGGAAACGTGCTGCAGCCCAGGGCCCCCTGGGGCCCGAGGGAACAGAGTGGGTGCAGTGCCTTAAACGCAGTGTCCTTCTAACTCCGCTCCAGAGCTTTTCTTCCCAAACCTGTTCTTCCTCTCATGTTCCCTTTTCTTTGAATGGCTTTACCCTTAATTCCAGTGACTCAACCCGGAGACCTGAGTCATTTCTGAGTCGTCCTCTGCTCGCCTCCCACATGCCCAGTTCCCTTGATCTGTCACCCGTCGTCTTCCATTCCCGTGCACTTGCCTTGGCTCCAAGCCCTGCATTCAGGCGGTCCCTCCGCTGATTTGTTTGGTACACCGCCCTCAGACCACGTGCTCTAAAGCTATCGTCATGTCACTGTTGGTCAAACACCGCACTTGGCTCTCCATTGCCAGTTAATGATTTTCTTAAGCAAATACTCGAGACTTTTCGTGATCTGGCCTAGTGGTTCACACGTGTTCACAGGCCGTAGCAGAATCATTTAGAAAACCTGCTAATCAAACGGGTTCCAGAGCCTCACCCCACATCCACTGAACCAGAACCTCTTTGGGAATATTTCTTGTATGAGCTTCCCAACTGATAACGATGATGTGCAGAGAGCTGGAGCACTCATTGAATTCTGTCCTGATTGACCGCTCTCGGCTTAGAACCTGTTCAAACAGTGGTGCTCCTGCTAAAATTGACTTCCCAGTGTGTCCTCTCTCCTTATCTCACTGTTTTCCTTCTCTTGCCTTTTTTACGCTTGCCCTAGTCATCACCTCTGTAGGCCTGGTCTTGTCTTCAAGACCCAGCTGAAAATGTCTTCTATTCCCCTGCATCTTCTTCTTTTTTTTTTTTTAAATGTTTTTTTATTTATTTCTAGGAGAGAGAGAGACAGCGTGAGCAGGGGAGGGTCAGAGAGAGAGGGAGTCACAGACTGAAACAGGCTCCAGGCTCTGAGCTGGCAGTCAGCACAGAGCCCGACGCGGGGCCCGAACCCACGAACCGCGAGATCATGACCTAAGCGAAAGTCGGACGCTTAACCGACTAAGCCACCCAGGTGCCCCTCCCCTGCATCTTCTGAGAGCACATAGTTCAAATATTGACCTCTAAATTCACACGGCGCTTGATCCGTGCTTCTCTTTTGACACTTGTGCCAAGTGCTAAGTGATCAGGGCTTTCTTTGCATAGCCTTTCTCCTGTCCTGGGATCATGTGCTCAGTTCCTGGAATATAGCAGATGCCTGACAGACGACTGACTGAAAAGACAAACCCCAATTCTCCTTCTTTCAGGTCATTTCTACCCTCCCCACCTTCCACCAAAATGTCTTCAACTACTTGATGGCGTTTTTGCGAGAACTACTGAAAAAATCGGCAAAAAATCATCTGGATGAGAATATTCTAGGTAAGCAGCCGAGTGTCTGTGGAGAGCATCTCTGCAAACCGAGAGACTCCTTAGCAGAAATGGGCCCGGGGGTGGCCTCCAGACCACTGCCGTGGAACTAAAATCCTCCAGCTCCGGGCACCATGCACCCTCACACAGCTTTTGTTTTCCAAGCAGAAAGTAACGCTTTGGGCCACGCCTCCCAACTCAACAACACAAGAAGTAGTGCTCCTTTTGCTGAATCGTTCCGTTTTCTGTGTTTCTCATGCAGCTAGCATCTTTGGCAGCTTACTGCTTCGAAATCCAGCTGGTCACCAAAAGCCTGACATGGCAGAGAAGAAGAAGGCTCAAGAATTTATTCACCAGTTCCTCTGCGACTCACCCTGAGCCTCTCTGCCTCCTCTCCTGTCTTACTTGAGGCGGCTAATTACCAGCTCCACCTGTTTCAGATGCAGAAGATGTGAGGGTTCTTGGGAGCAAAAGCAGCAGCTGCCTGTTTTCCTGAGCCCAGACTACACCCCCCCCCCCACTGTGGCTGTCACACGCATGCCACTGTGAGTCGTGAAGACCTGGGGACATCCACCACAATAAAACTGACAGTCAGTGTTCAGCTTTAGTTATTTAACACAGATCTCTCGCTCTATTTTTTTAAATTTTAAAGATGTTTAAATAACTGTACTTCCTGTGCTCACTCAGCCTGCCTGCAGGGCATTGTCAGTGCCTTCCCTGTAGCGTGGGCCGAGCTCCCCATAATCAGATGGTTGAACAGACTTTGGGGTCCTGAAGGGAGAATGAATTGGACAGCAAGAATGCAAATGGAATCTGCTGGATAAACAGGCCACCGCCACCCCAGATGCTTCCAGTACTCTGGGCACATATGTATATGTACATACAAAGCCTACCCCCCGCTTCCTAATCAGGTGGGGCTCAGCAACCCTGGGGCTGGCACTCGGCCTCTGAGGGCAATACGGTGGCTCGAAAATGAAAGTACTGAAGAAATTGGTGCTGTGGTGAAACAAATGGGATTTTCCAGCTCAGCAAATCCTCCAAACTGTATATGATGCATCCCCTTTCTCATATGTGTAATATATTTTAATGATAAATGTATTTTTAACAGTGGTCGTTTGTATGTTTTTCTCTCTTAAGAGACGGCAGCTGGACTTTTTTTGTGGCTTAAGCGTTCGGGCAGCTGGTCAGGGGCCGGGCAACTCTCTGGCCCCTGGCCCATCTGGTGGGTAACAATCACTACTCCTGGCATTCAAGCAAGAGATGTACGGGCATGGCCAGAACCCCTTGACCCTGAGGTAGTCTCTGGGAGTTGTCCCACCCTGAATATTCTAGAGAAGTAGCTTATGGGGAAAACAGGCAGTGACTGCTGGGAGGTTCTGAACAGACTTAACAGGCATTTTAAAGAGACAGAATAACGAAGGTACACGCAAAAATCGCGTCTTGGGCACTGAACACCTAAACTCCTTGGCCGTGGAAAATGTGGCCGAGAAGCAGGCCAACAGGATGACAGCGTGAGCGGTCAGAGAAAGGGGATGGCCAGTAGGTGGCGCTGACCGGCCCGGGCCGGAGTCCCGTGGAAGCCGGCAGCCGTCTGCAGGGCGAAAAGTTGGTACAGACCGCCTGGGCTGTCGTGAGGAAGGGAGTGGGGAGTCTGGCGCGCGCGAGTGACAGGCGAAGGGCGGCGCCATCCTCTGGCTGCGCTTGGAGTACTCCTTGGCTCTACCATTTGGATCCGATCTTCCTTTCCTGACCCCAGCTGCTACACTCCCTTTGATTGGTGAAGAGGGGAAGCTGGGAATGTCACAGCCTTGCAGCCTCCCCTTGCGCGCGTCCCAGCTAGAACTCGGATGGCCTGGTCCTGCCCGTTGCAGTAGTGGCTGCGAGGGTGAGGGCGGCCAGCGCAAGGCGGGCTTTCGACCAGCGGTTGAGCGGTTCGACCCCTTTTCCTTTGCACGTAGCGCCACATGACAGTCGCCCTGACTCCCGGGCGGCTGCGGACGCGGCCCGCGCTTCGCGGGACGAACTTACGGTTCTGCGGCGCCTCTACGGCGCCCCGCCCCGCCCCGCCCCTCCTGCTCGCCAATTGGAGCCTCGAGCTCAGCCCCCACACTGCCTAGGCCAACCAGGAGCGCCAGAGAGAGGCGGGGCCGGTATCTCCTCCTTCCTCCGGAAAGCGGAAGCGGAAGTGACGTTTGGGGAAGGTGGGGGCAATCATGGTGCCGCTGGGGAGGGGAGAAGCTGCCGCTGCCGCCGTTGCCGGGAGCCGCGGAGGTAAAAGGCGAAACTAGACGCGGCCTGGGCTCGGGGCTTCCCGGGGGGCGCGGGACTTAGGCTCCCTCCTGAAGCATTTCCTAGTAGAGACCCCACTCTGGTCACCGTAGGGACCCCACCCCTCCTCCGTTTCCATGGGGATGGGTATCCAGCCCCCCTTCCCTGTTTCCATGGAGACCCGGACCCTGCCCCTCTTCGCCAGGCTTGGAGCCCCCCCAGCCTGTCTTCGGATTTTTCCGTGTAGCCCCGTCTCGGGGCTCTCCCAGTCAGGTTCCTTCTCCCAGCCTTCTCTGAAGGGTGCCAGCGTTTGTACTACTCGTCTGCCACCCTCAAGCCTCCTGGTCTTGTTTGTCCTGGACAGTTGGGTCTCCGCTTATGCGCTGATGGTGCCGGCGAAGCCCTAAGGGGCCGCCGGTGCTCTTATCTCTCCTCAGATACAGCGAAATGTGCATCTACCCCGGGTTGCGTAAGCCAGAGCAAGGGGTCGGGCGGGTTCCTCCCGGATCCGATCCCTTGGCCTGTCTCTGGTAACTGGGTCTAGCCGCCCCACTCCGTAAAGGTTCACTTTCTAACCCAGGACAGAAGAGAAAGATCAAGTGTAAAGCCAGACTGAAAACTAAAAGTGATATGCTGAATATTTTTAAATTTCGTTCTGACTGCCAAGCCCACATTTGTAGAACCCGTGTGTTTGCAGCTGAGGGAAGAACTAATCCAGAACAGGAAAGGTTTCGAATTTGGTATTTTTCCTGAGAGAACATCTCTTTCCAAGAGAGTATGTCTTCCCAGGAGAGTATAACTGCAGATCTTTCATTCATTTAACTGACATCTTCTGAACTCCTAGTGTCATCGTGTTGTGCGGGGGACAGTAGAAACAAATAAGAGTCACCATTCTCTCACTGCAGAGAGCACACTATACAAGCAGAGGTCTAGTGGACACCACGTTGTTTTAGGAGGTAAATAGATATCATGATCTTCATTGGATATGCCTGACTAGGGATCAGACAGTCCACCCAGAAGCTGAAACATCTGCTCTAGGAAGGAGGGAATGAATTCACACTTGCTTTCCCTACTGTTACTAGACATTGTGCGTTAACGAACATTATCTCTTTTTCTCTGTGTAACAACTTTGAGAGAACTTGGATTAACCAGTCCCACTTTATCCATAAGAAAGATGGAGCACAGAAAAGTTACCCAGGTACTGAGTGGCAAAGCTGGAATTTGTGGGTAGGTGGCCTTGCCTCCACAGTCCTGCTTTCACAGTAGACTACACTGCCTCATGGTCTAATCTGGGGCATAGTTGAATGGGTTTTTTTTTTTACTTTAGGATGTATAACGAGTCAGCCTTGAAGCAGTTGTCCTCTTCTCCACTTTAGCAGTAAGGCATGTTTGGAAGGTCTTAAGAACTACCTATTTCTTTTGAGTGTGTGTGTGTGTGTGTGTGTGTGTGTGTGTGTGTGTTTAAGGCATTGGTTTTCCTTTAAAATGACTTGATGGTTTCAGAGTTTAAAAAGTATGATTCCCAAGGAAGATGATTTTCATTTACTGTGGGCTGTTCTTCCAGTGAGAGGAAGAATGAGCCCCGTGGTTACGGAGGAGGTCCCAGGGTATGGCTCTAATTCTGGCTTTGTCCTCTCGCAGATAGGTCGTTACCTTTCCAGCTCTCACAATTGGGCTGAGCACGACTGAACCATGGGGGAACACAGTCCGGACGACAACATCATCTACTTTGAGGCAGAGGAAGATGAGCTGACCTCCGATGACAAGATGCTCAGGTTCGTGGATAAAAACGGACTGGTGCCTTCCTCATCTGGAACTGTTTATGATAGGACGACTGTTCTGATTGAGCAGGACCCTGGCACTTTGGAGGATGAAGATGACGATGGACAGTGTGGAGAACACTTGCCTTTTCTAGTAGGAGGTGAAGAGGGCTTTCACCTAATAGATCACGAAGCAATGTCCCAGGGTTACGTGCAACACATTATCTCACCGGATCAGATTCATTTAACAATAAACCCTGGTTCCACGCCCATGCCAAGAAATATCGAAGGTGCAACTCTCACTCTGCAGTCGGAATGTCCAGAAACGAAACGTAAAGAAGTAAGTAAAGCAGTGGGTGAGGGCCCAGGTTTGCTTTGGAGAAAAGTCCTTGCACAACTCGCATTGGCCATTTTAGCTGGGGAATAAAGGAGTCCCTGGAATGAGGACTTGCAGTGGTTTTTCTCGTCAGCAATACAAATGCCTCGTGTTTTGTCGTGACTGCCTTCTGGAACTTTTGGTTTGTATAGCTGCATTGAAATTTGAGAAAGCTAATTTATAGTTTTTCAACTTTTCTTCCCCACGTCATCAATCAAATAGAAATTTCGTTGAGTTAAGACCGTTTCCGAGGCTGAAATAACTAGATTTGGCTTATCTCTGGGGTGTGTATAAATCATTTATTTGGGAGATGAGTATCTGCTGGAATATGCTTTCTTTTCATGGTGGATTTTTGATGAATAACAAGGCCTCACTTTCTCTGGTAAGAAATTCAGGCAAGAGACAGTAAATGAGAGCAGGTTATGTAAAATAAGTTTTTGTGCTCATACTTAGCTACTGTGAGTAAGGTAACGTGTGTCACGATGGTTGGAAAACCGTAAAGCATTGTACAGATTGTACTGGTTGTGATCAGCAGAATGATCTGGGTTAAAGGTAATGAAAGACATTATCTAGGAACTGATTACAGGTCAATTAGAAAAAAACAGATCCCTGGTAATTTGCAGTGTCAGGGACTAAATGTAAAATGTTACCAAACAGACATAGGATAAATCGTTTAGCAAGATCTTTTTTCTCTTAGGCTACAATTAAGGTCTTGAAATTGGAGGATTTTATTATTCGTGCCATATGGCTTTTCCATGGCTAGCTGTAGAATCTCAGAGCTGGAAGCAACCATAGAGAAACCGTCTTGTCCCACCTTCCCCCTCACGCAGGAATTTCTCTACGGCCTCTTTGACATTAGTTCATCGGGTGTCTGCTTGAACACATGCAGAATGACGAGAGCACAGAGTTACACCGCTCAGCCTGATCTGTGTGTTGGCCGGCTCTGATTTATAGAGAGCTTTTGACTTGTATCGAGCCCAAAACCTACCTTCCTGGAGCCGCTGCCCACTGGTTCCAGTTCTGCCTTCCTGCACAGCAGCAGGTTCAACCTTCCTCTCCCGGGACAGATCGTGGATTTCCTTGACCATCATGGATTTCTCTTTATCGTCTCTTGTACAGGCTGAACACCTCGATTTACTTAAATATTCCTCTATGACATTTCCCTGCTGGTTTCCCATCAGTCTGGTCACCTTGGGTTGTGTGGATTCCAGTGATCCCCAGCCTTCTTCAAATTCATAACTGCGCACAATCTCCCAAGTGTGAGGCAGCCAGCACTGAAGACTGCGTGACTCTTATCTTTTAATCTGGACACTGTACTGTAATTGCTGTACAGGCTGTATTTTATTAGCAATGTCATGTTGTCAGCTTGTACTTGGAAACCTCTAGAATAGTGATTCTTCACTGGGGGCAGTTTTGCTCCCCAGAAGATACTTAGCAATGTTCGGAGACGTTTTTGGTTGTCATACTGAGGAAGTGCTACTGCAATCCAGTGATTAGAGGCCAAAGAGCCCGTTAGACATTCTGTGATATACGGGACAGCCCCCTGCAACACAGAATTATCTGGGCCAAAATGTTGATTGACTCTTTTCCAAAAAAAATTTATTTACAAAACAGCCAGTGGGCTAGATTTTACTCGCTGGCTGGAGTTTGCCAACCCCTGGACTAGAACATAGGGAGCTTAGGGAATAGTTGAAAATAAGGACGGAAAGGTAGCAGAGATCCAGACGTGGAAGGCAGTGATAACATGCTAAGGGCTTTGGACTGTATTATGGAAATAGTGGGGAACCGTTGAAGGTGTCTGCGGCAAGGATTGATGTGGTTAGGGTAGCATTTTAGAAATACTGCCCTGGTAGCAGTGGTAGCTTGATGGCCCAGTTAGGAGGGATTGTAGTTTAGATTTGGGTTTTCGTTGGAGGCTGGTGAAGAGTAATGGCCTTGTGTTTGAAGAATGAATCGGGTATGACTCAAAGGATTTATCCATTTTTCCAGGTATGTTGAGTTCTTTGTGTTAGTTCACGGGCCCCTCAGGTGACTGATGAGGGAGACTAGGAAAGAAGTAGTTAGAGCGCACCGCCACAGGTACTTTAACAGAGGCCCGTTCAGAGTGCTGTGTCAGGCTGAGGAGAAAGCGTCAGACTCTGCTGCTCCCCTCACCTTCTGGGAATGGTGAGCCCATCAGAGGAATCAAGAAGACAGGAAGAGGAGAAGGTTTGGTGGGGAAACTGGTATGTTTGTTTGAAGTATAGTGAATGTTTTACTCCTTGAGGAAAAGTAAATCGAACAAGTTGAGAAGCCCATTGGAAATGTAGATCTGAAGTCGAGGAAATGGCTCAGGATTCATGAATGGGCCTTGGTTCAAAGCATGAGCGGTTTACTCAAGGGAGGAGTAAGAGTTGGTCTGAGAAGGTCAAGGTTAAAAAGAGAAAGAGGAACCAGGGAGCACATAGTTGAAGAGGAGATGGGTGGAATACGTGTTGTGGAAGGTGAGTGTCAAGAAGTGTAACTATTCTATGTGACCCTGCAGAGGGGTTGAGGGACCCAAGAGAAGCCATCGGTTCTGTGTCTGTGCCATTGATCACACCCTGAGAAGTTTTTCGGTAGAGCACTGGGGGCTGAGGCCGGCTTCCAGTGATGGAGAAGTGAGTGGGTGGTGAAGAAACCGGAGGAAGGAAGTGTCAAGTTGGTTTAGGGTTTTTTTTACTATGGTAGTTGGAGGAAGAAGAGTGATGAGGCAGTAGCAGCTCAAGGAGCAGGGGGGTTGGGGGGTGAATCATTTCTTTAGCACAGCAAACTTGAACATGGCTTAGAGCCTAAACTGCAGGCCATCCTCAGTTAATGATTACTATGTGAAAGCATTTCGAGAACAAATGTTTGGGAAACATTACGTTGAATCAAGACAGAGGTTTGTTTATTATGGAATTTCTCGGAGTTATTGATGTGCTAATAACTATGGAAATGCAGAATTCCCCTAATGTTTTGAACCTGGGAAACCCTTTTCAGGTCTTCTTTCTAGGGTCTGTATTTTGTGGAACACATTTTGGAAAATGCTGATCTAGGCAGAAAAGGAAGAGATGGTAGGGAGGGAATGATTATGCAATCACTTATATGAGCTGTCACTTTCCCACCACAGATCTCCATTGACTTATGGCACGGTTATGTCCTGATAAACCCATCCTAAGTTGAAAATAGTGCGTCAAAGACGCCTAACCTACCGACCTCATAGGTTAGTCTAGCCTGTCTTAAACATGTCCAGAACTCTCACAGTAATCTACAGTGGGGCAGAATCCTCTCAAAGCCAATTTTATAATTAAGTGTTGACCAGCTCATGTAATTGATCGAATACTGTACTGAAAGTGACAAAGAGAATGGTTGTATGGGTGCAGAATGACTAGAAGTATATCGGTTGTTTACCCCTATGTAATCTCAGGGCCGACTGGGAGCTGTGGGCTCCCTGCTGCTGCCCAGCATCACATGAAAGTACCTTACCTCCTATCACTACCCTGGGAAAAGATCCAGATTCACAATTTGAAGTACAATTTCTCCTGGGTGCATGTTGTTTTCTCACCATCGTAAAGTTGAACCATTATTAGGTGGGGACTGTACTTGCAGCCTGGTTTACTGTTCATGTCTGCGGGTCTTGATAGTCATGTTGAGCAGATAAGGTCAGGGAGACTGTGACCACCTGGTTCAGTCTACGATGGATTTAGCTCACTGTACTTTCATCCCACCATATCTTTCCATTCTGTCTGTGAAGCCTACATGGAGGATTCTAGAAATTTTAAAAAATCAATTGATGTGAGGTTGGTTGGGGATTGAGGAAGAGGAATCAGTGGCTTTTTTTTTTTTTTAATGTTTTATTTATTTCTGAGAGAGAGAGAGAGATAGCATGAGCAGGGGAGGGTCAGAGAGAGAAGGAGATACAGAGCCTGAAACAGTCTCCAGGCTCTGAGCTGGCTGTCAGCACAGAGCCCGACGTGGGGCTCGAACCCACGAGCTGTGAGATCATGACCTGAGCTGACGTCGGACGCTTAACCGACTGAGCCACCCAGGCACCCTGAATCAGTGGCTTTTAGTCTTCAGAATTGTTGCTTAATGAGCAGGCATTCAGGGGACTTGACTTCCTGAAGCACCATCTTACCTTAGCTTTTGCTTTAATAGTGATTGGGGGGGGGGGAGGACACTTAAATTCATTTAATTGGCCTGAAGAGGCTGATGTTTATGACTGTTTGTTAATACTTTTCATGATTTCGGTATTCCCTCCTTCCCTCCCCCCCTTTTTTTTTAATTTGGTCTTTTTCCTTCATCTCCATGTGCAGGTATTGCTCTTGAGAAATCAAATCATTTGATAAACAGTCTTCTTTTTAAATTTTTTAAAAAATGTTTTATTTATTTTTGAGAGAGAGAGAGACAACATGAGCAGGGGAGGGTCAGAGAGAGTGGGAGACACAGAATCTGAAGACAGGCTCCAGGTTCTGAGCTGTCAGCACAGAGCCCGACGCAGGGCTCAAACCCATGAACCCATGACCTGAGCTGAAGTCGGACGCTTAATTGACTGAGCCACCCAGGCGCCCCTATAACTAGTCTTCTTGGCTTCTCAAGCAGCTTGTTTTCTGAGTCAGATTTTAGCCTGATTTTCCTGTTTACCCCTGATTGTTCCATTGTTTCCTGAGGTATATAGTTGGCTTACCTGTTCCTTCACTTTTCTCCCACGTGCTTGTCTTGCGTAAAAATAAACCAACCAGAACCTTGCTACAGATACTGTCTTCTTCCACAGGGCCACTGGCCATTCTGACTCTAATTTCATGTATCTCATTCTCATACTTGCTGTCTTACTACCATCCAGCTGTTGGTAGTTTTGAGAAATCTCCAGTCAGAATATGTCCTTCTGCACAAGATCAGCATTCTAAAGCGTTGCTCCTTTCATGCCTTTCTGTTCTGGGTTTCTGAGCAGCCGGGTTTGTGTA